CTCTAAGATATTCATAACTGCGATCATTCTGAACCTCTACTCCAAAAAGTCGAACAAACGAAAGAGTGTTACCTGTAACCTGCTGAAAGTTCTGGCCAGGCTGTAAGGTGGCATACTGAAATCTTTCCTGTAAGAATTAGTGGTTTTTTGATATGCTTTAGAGGATTGCCTTCTTCAGTAGGTTATAATTACATATGATACCTGCGACAAAGTTTGCATAGATTCAAAGCGTACCAGAAAATACATTCCTAACCTGGTAGCCTAGGAGTCATCAGGCCATTCACAGAGGGAGGCGTATTTTCAAACCTGACTACTGTAAGAAGTTATGTCTTTCCTCCTTCTGTGAAGGGAGTAAATTTAGGTTGTTGGAATATGTGCACTAGATGCACGTTATTCCATTACTCCTTTATCTAATTGCTGTTGTGAGAAAGTTAACTTATTATTCTCTAATTCAAGGCGAGCTTGTTGAGCTCGCGGATCCTTATTTCTCTCCTCCCTTAACGCATAATCTCTATCCTATCTCTTTCTCTCAAGTTCCCATAAGTTGTAACTTATTCCCTCATGGTACTTTAGCTCTTTCCTCACGGATCAAGTGCTATCACGCTCCTTTTTGTCTTCTCTCTTTCTAACTGTCTTTCTTGGATTTCTCTCTCAATTCTCTCTCTCTCCTTTTTATCCTCTCTTTCTCTTTCTATTCTCTCTCTATTCAAGTCTTTCCTGGATTTTAGCACTAATGAAAGATTCCTAAATTTTTTCCCTGTTATTCTAACTTACTTCCAAGCGTTCATACCACCAAAACTGGTATTTCTCCTTCCTCCATATTTGCAAGAATATCTTAAACTACCAGGGGAAAATGAGACGGGTATTAAAGAAAACGGAGGGTTCAATTCCTGCTCCGCTCAAACTGTAAATAAATCAGATGGGCTCGATCCCTACTTCAATTAACAATATGTATTAATGTGAAAACGAAGGTTCTGTGCCCGCTCCGAGCAAACTGTAAGTAGAATGGGTCACTTGACCACCAATCTTCTCACCAACAATCGGAGAGTGTCCTATGATTTATAAAGAGCTCAATGAAACAATTGTCACTGGAAAATCTCGGGTCCCTAAGCCTAATCCTCCAAAGTGTTTCCAAGCTCAACAAAAAGATGGCCAGAATTAAATATATATCCTTGCCTACTTGACTTACAATAATTGAGACTGTAACCGTCACCAATCTTAAATACCTGTACTGTAGTTCCAACCATAGAGAAGGATTCCTCATGGCTAGTGTAACCGTCCAGTGGTATGCGGCGTTGAAGTTCCAAGGGTAGATTCGAGATGGAGTTGAATCTTGATTCAGTAAAATAGTTGATGCCTGGCAAGGTCGCCCACTTGTGAAGGCTTACTCAGCCCTGTAACAACCTTCAGTCAGTATTACTCGGGCTGGCTCCTCCTCAGGAAAATTAATTTGCATAGAAAAATAATATTAACTGACAAACATAACACATTATTAATTAGAATATAAAATATAAAACACGTAAACATGAAATATTGATCCTACAGTTAAGAGAAATGAAAAGTATAAATATAACTGAATTCAACAGCTAAATACCATGGACCCCCCGCAAAACGAATACCTCGAGAATGTGACCAATTAATGTAAGCTTATTTATGTAAGTGCGTTTGTTAACGTGTATGTTTGGGGGTCTGATATGGACAAACCTACTTCACAATCTTCCCTTATGGGAATAAATTCGGTCCAGTACGAGGCACCTGAACATACTTCTGGAGTGAAAAAAAACGTTAACCCGGGGGTCCACTGTATTATAAAACTTGGGTGACTGTGTTGGTGACACTGCGTGTTGTATGCAATAGTAGCCGTTGCTGATGATCGGGGGGGGTCGCAGGTGTTGGTGACAACCACTTGGCTCGTTCTAGTGGCCGTAAGTAATCTTTAACCGATACAGGAGATTCAGGTTCTTGAACTCGCTGTAATGATGAGGGGTTATGTCCTGATTCTTCATACAAGTGCACAGGCAAGTAATCCAATATGGGACGTCTCCAGGACGTTAGTCCGTCTCCTTCAATTTTACTCGTTGATTGACAGGTGACCCTCTCTGTCATCCAAGCTGAAAAGATAGACAGGTTACCCACTGCTTAAGAAATCACTCTCCATGATAAGTACAATACCTAAAGACGTGGTGAATTATTACAACAGTCAACTTAGAGCAAGGCTGAAAAGACTAAGTTTATATTGGTCAAAAGTGAAGCTTTCAACCAAAAAATCCACTGAATACAAGGCAGGCATGTACTTAGAGTAGTGCTGGGAGCTGAGAGTCTAGTGATTACTGTTTGAACCGGAGCCCCACACGTCACCTTTGGGGGGGGGGAAGAAGGAGGGGAAGGGATAGCGGGAGCTAGACTGACCCTACCTTAACATGCAGCCATCAATCAAACTATCACTTTTGGGGTGGGGGGAAAAAAAGGCGGGAACAGCGGGAGCTAGATTTACCTTACCTTAACTAGTAGCCGGCAATGAAACTATTGTTACTATATCACTACTCCTATCTATTGAACTTTTCCCTCACATTTACAATTCATATATAAGAAACATTTACACTTACCTTAGAGATGTTGGTTTAATTAGTTGGTTTGATGGAGGAGATGCAGGGCGGCATATGTTCATTGGCCCTGTAAGCCTCCAACAACATTGGAGAGTTACTTTTGTGTCGTTTTTCTATCACTTAAATGCTTAACTTACTTGCTACACCTGTTAATGCTACACTTTTATCGCTGGCTGGCACTTTGGCCTCCATTGATACCTACTGCTTTAGTATCTTACATATCGAGAGAATCACTGAAGGAGACATATTCTGCCCTCTCGTCCTCCTCCTCTGTGGTACTTTGCTATGAGTTTTTTCTTGAATTCTATTATGTTTCTTTCCTTCTTTACTAAAGGGCTGGCACTATGATTATTATGAAATGTATTGTATGAACCCATGTAGTAATGGTCACTCACCCACAAATCATGCCACACTGACTCTGATTGTTGTGTGGGAGCCTTTGTGTGCCCAGCCTCTCCTGGCAGCATGGACATGTCCCCCTTACGGTTGGAGGAAAA